ATATATATATATATATATATATATATATATATATATATATATATATATATATATATATATATATATATATATATATATATATATATATATTTTTTTTTTTAATTGATTTATTGCCTGTTTAAGATTGTTTATTCTCAATGTTTTAGCAATAACAGGCTTATTTTGATATGAAAAACTTTATTTTCGTTGACGTTTCGTTGTATATCCCAACTTTGTCAAAACAACGAAACGTCAACAAAAATAAAGTTTTTCACATCAGAATAGCCTGTTATTGCTAAAAACATTGAAATATATATATATATATATATATATATATATATATATATATATATATATATATATATATATATATATATATATATATATTTATATATATATATATATATATATATATATATATATATATATATATATATATCTGAATAAAAAGTGGGTCCTCGGCAAAGGTAAGGCTGGATGATTGAAAAACAACACTTGTCGATTTACATCGATATTTCGGTCCTATATTGGGTCCTTCTTCAGGATGAACATTACAGCGAGATTACAGCTAAAACATTACAGCGGGATAGAACTCACACATCCTTATTATAATTAGCAATTAAATTGTTGTTAAGTAATTACATATCAACTAGTTGTACATAATATGTCTTTGAGGACAATCTACAAGCATTATATTCACAATGAACAACAGAAAATCAGATCAGATGGCTCCAAAACATAATGAAATGTTCGAAATCTTAATAGCGAGCTTAAACGAAATGTCGACAAAGCCGGTAACTAATCACAGAACACAACACTTCGACCGGGAGACAGGACCAGAGAAGAGGCTTCATGTCTTAGGTAGGCAGAACTTGGCCCGAGTTTTCATCTACTCTGCGGTCATCCAGTGTAAGAAGGTAACTTTAAAAAACACTTAGACCGTTGATGTCTGTTCTTTTATTGATATTACTTTTGTATTTATTGATGAAACACATTTCTAAAAAGGCTCTGCTCTCCATGATTAGTTTGCGATATCAATATTCTGGCATTACAATAATCAAAAATGTGGTCATTGTTCGAAGCATGCAAGGCAAGGGCACATCTATCTGGATGCAACCTGGTGTCGCTTCTATGTAGTGCGAACCGTCTTTCAAGAGTCTGGGAGGTTTGGCCTATATAGATACCACTACATCTAAGACGAGGGATGGAATGGATGCAATCTGATCGATTTAAAAATGGAACCTTGTCCTTCAATCTTGAGAAAATTTGCCTAATGGTAAAAACGTTATATTTGAGTAATATAACTTAATGAATATATGAGAAAGTTAAACAGTAAGCGATGGAAGAGAAGCAAACTTCATTTTGGAGACCACTTCGGGCAAATCAGGCAATGTGTGGTTCAATTGTACCACAGTTTTGTTTTGCTCAATCTGAGATTGGCAAATTACTCCATTCAGTAGTCTTTTGGGATAACCAGTTTCCACCATGATGTTGAAAAGTCTCCTTAGTGCTTCAGTCGCATTTGTACCGACAATACAAAATTTCCGGACGGTATAAATATCGCCTCATAAGCAGATAATTTATTCCGGATTCAGAGATTCGAAAAGAACGCTAACAGCGACAATTCAAGCCACAAAGTAAACATTTGTAAATGACTGTTACAAAATTGCAGGTCTATACCGTTTCTTTTTTTTTTCTATTTTCATAACTGTATAAACCTTTTTCAAATATATCTATATATATATATATATATATATATATATATATATATATATATATATATATATATATATATATATTTAAGTTTTGGTATGCAAATAAATTTTTTTGTTGCTCTCAAACAGAGTCTTGGAAATACACCTGTGAAAGAGTATATAGAAGTAGGCATATCATTTATGAGACATTTTTAAAATATTAGTTATACATATCGAGATGTCGTTGTTGTTTCTCTAACAACTCATCACTCATGGTTTTATTTTGTACTATATTTTGAAACTCTACTCCACATTCCACATAAAAAGCGTCAACAATAGTTTTGTTTTTGAACGAGGATATAACGAGGAATCAGATACGAGAACCGTTGCACAGCAGTGACAAGTGCGGTATATAAGAGAACACCTCCAACTCTGGTGAATTGTATCCACATGAAAACTCTTGTAAATACCTCAGGTCGTGTAAATTCAATGCCTGATATATAAGCAGTAATAATACATTTTCTTACGTTTTATGAAATTTATATTTCATAAAACGTAAGATTTAAGAAATATAAATTTATGAAATATAAATATAAATATAAACGTGTTATATGTTTGATATGTCTTTGTGTGTGTCTGTCTATGGCAACGTAGCTGGCGAATGGTAGAACCGATTTCGATTTTATTTTCGTTGGGAAAATTAATTAGACGGAGTTTTCATAGTTATGTTTGATGACTATCGGTTCAATATTGCCACCGCTAAAAAATTGCAGATTACGTATTCAATAAAGGTTTCAAATGAAAAGGCTTGACTACACCAATACAACACACTTTGATGAATTCCAAATTCAAGATGATCGGTAGCACAAAATGGTGCATTAAATTTTTTTCCTGCAACTTATTCAACATGGGTATCAAGGAAAAGGGCTTGACTAGATTGATTTGATTTTAATGTTTTCAGCTGTTTAAAATGATGAATAAGGGTCAAAAATGAAGATGTTTCATCTTCACTGTTTCCCAGTCAGTGCATTACCAAAACCTAAAACATCGAGTCGTAAACAACCGAGTTGTTGACGACAGAAGTATTCATTTCTTAGTGTTGAATAAGTCTCGAAAATCGGTGATCCCAGGACAACGTCCATTGAATGTTTTTCGGTACCAGTATCCTCAAAATTGGTTCACTTGATTACACTTTCCCATAAATACTTTTATGAAACCGCTAACAACGTAAGTTATTGACTTCTGATCATTTCCAGAATGAAATTATATCAGGACTTTTTCGACAATTCTGAAAATCATAACATTCACTCTGAAAAAAATTATTAAGCCTTGTATAAGATGAACAATTTCTTTTTCTGTTTACGTCTTAAGTATTTATGGTATATATCAAAACTTCTTTCAGAAACATTATATAATTTCTTAAATCCATAATTTATTCATCTTCAAATTGAGAATGTTCGTACCTGTAGGCTTTTCGGAATGAGCGACTACCCCGTTCGAAGCTCGCTCTTTTTATCTCACCCTTGGTTCGAATAAACACGATCTATGCCGTTAGTTGCCACTTCAAAGTTCGAGAGGGCTGGAAAAAGAGAGGCCCACTTCCATGCAAATCGCTGCGAGGTGGTGCAAAGTAGCTACCTCTACGAAAATATTAGGGGTTCGAGAGTATGAAAAGCGAGGTTGGATATTACTCTGAATAATATATTTGGCAGGTATCGCTCCGTTATAGGCTCAATTGTCTGGATGAGATATAAACGTAGCGTGATGTAATTCTTGTTTCATTATATATTCCAAGTATTATATGAGTTTCGAAGTGAACAAGCATAAAACCTCCGAATTGATGAATTTATATCGACATTATAAACCTTTCGTATCAGTTATTCTCAGTTTATTTCGATTGAAATTTATATGTTTCGAATAGCCCTAACATTTCAGTTCGTTCAATTCATTGGTGGTGTATATTACAATTGAGAGTTTATACCAGTAGGTTGAGTAGACTAGCTCTCCCATCTAAAGATAAATTTCGAAGGGAAAGTTTTTGGGTATTCTTCAAAATTATTCGATAACCTAATCAATTTCAACCAATAATTTTATAAATTACTGATACTGACTAATTTTTTGTTCTCAATTTGAGGAATATTCTAGTGTATATAATCCCTTTAGAGATCTCAGAAATTCGAATTAGGAATTCGTTGATTTTATACTAGCCCCCTTCTACTTCATTTGTCAGTGTTCTGCTATCGATTTTTCATTGTCGTTATCAAGAATTTTATTTCATGGTTTCTCAAAAATATTCAATCCTGTTCTGCTTAGGTTTGTTGTCAATTATAAATAAAAACCAGCCTCATATACATATAAGCTCACATTAAAAGCGAAATGTGACAGCTCACATTACATGCAGTTACATGCTCACATTGAAAGTGAGCATGTAACAGTTTCAAGATGACATATTGATGTACACAAGTCGACATTTACATATATAATGATTATTATTATAACGATTGTTCCCCATTAGGAAAGCGACTGAACTTGAATTCGCAATTATTAGGAGCTTTACTTCGTCTTTTTTGCCTTCCAAAAACGCCTTCTTCCGATCATATCTGCATTTTATTCGAGGTTAGCGCGTTGACTTTTGCCAAACTTTATATGTGCGATTTAATAGCGACACTCAGTGCGATCTTCGAGATTTTTATTTTGATCTGTTGTAGATCTTTTTGGACCTCCTTCAGCCACTCTGTTCCGTATTTATTATTCATAATTATATCGAGTAGTTTCTTTGGTATTCTGAACTGTTTCATTCTGTAGACATTTGCATAGAACTTTGCTCTTCTTTTTCTGATTTCTTTCGTCATCGTATTTGTCTTTTGAGATTCTGAGGTCTTTCTGAGGTCTTTTCATACAAATGCCGTTTCTATTGATTGGCCCGTAAATCTTTCCGAGAATTTTCCGTTCTTGTTTTTCTATTTCTCTAATTCTTGTATGACCGTCAATAACCATTCTTCAGCTGCTTAGATTGCTTCTGGAGGAATAGTTGTGAATAGTGCCTCAATTTGGCAACTTCTCGGGATGCACTTCTTGTTATAGTAAGCCCGTGTTAGCTGACAGTCCCTTTGGAGCTTGGTAATTTTTTAATTTTCTGTTCATTAGCGATTCAGTTTAAACCTGAGGACTGTATAACTTCTCCGAGGCATATGTATATATATATATATATATATATATATATATATATATATATATATATATATATATATATATATATATATATATATAAAGAAATGGATTTTTATAGAGAAAATTTTGAATCGAAATTACATCACAAAAATTCTGGACCTTGACTGGGATACGAACCTAGGCCTTTCAGGTTCACGCCCTGCTGCTCTTACCACTAAGCTACCGAGGTCTGCACCTCGAGATGCAACTTCGACTCATATCTTGGAGCAGCAAGGCGTAAACCCGAAAGACCTGGGTTTGTATCCCAGTCGAGGTCCAAAACTTTTGTGATGCGATTCTCAATTTTCACTATAAAAATACATTTCTTCGTACGTGCGTGGTTAGCGCAAATAATAATTACTATATATATATATATATATATATATATATATATATATATATATATATATATATAGCTTTGTAGATATTTCATTCGAACACAACAGAAAATTGTCTGAAATGTGTACGAATGATCCCATGCCTAATCGCTCCAGATCACGCCCAGGCGGGCAAAAGTGTAGCTAGTTCAAAGATTCACAGGTAATTCAATACTAGTAAATACTGAGACTCTTAATCGAAATAACGAAATATTTCAAATAAAACTCTCAGGGAGCTGTCTACACAAATGTTGTCAACGAGAACGAACCCATCACTTTCGAGAGTGAATATTAAGAGCGTTTCGAAAAATTCATCGATCTTGTTGAATGATAATAGGATACAATTGTTTCATCATTATTATGAATCATCAGTCCATATTTAATCTATCAATCAAGAATCGATGACTTTCAAAACGAACATAGGTCCCATACCAAATTAAGAGAAGTTCTAGAGAGTGAAATACTCACGTAGGCTCCCTCTATCGGCGAAAGGACGTATAAACACTCCCTATCGTTCAAGATTCCTACTCATGACAACAAGAGTGCGAGTGGAAGGCTTTTTAGATATTTCATTCGAACACAACAGAAAATTGTCTGAAATGTGTACGAATGATCCCATGCCTAATCGCTCCAGATCACGCCCAGGCGGGCAAAAGTGTAGCTAGTTCAAAGATTCACAGGTAATTCAATACTAGTAAATACTGAGACTCTTAATCGAAATAACGAAATATTTCAAATAAAACTCTCAGGGAGCTGTCTACACAAATGTTGTCAACGAGAACGAACCCATCACTTTCGAGAGTGAATATTAAGAGCATTTCGAAAAATTCATCGATCTTGTTGAATGATAATAGGATACAATTGTTTCATCATTATTATGAATCATCAGTCCATATTTAATCTATCAATCAAGAATCGATGACTTTCAAAACGAACATAGGTCCCATACCAAATTAAGAGAAGTTCTAGAGAGTGAAATACTCACGTAGGCTCCCTCTATCGGCGAAAGGACGTATAAACACTCCCTATCGTTCAAGATTCCTACTCATGACAACAAGAGTGCGAGTGGAAGGCTTTGTAGATATTTCATTCGAACACAACAGAAAATTGTCTGAAATGTGTACGAATGATCCCATGCCTAATCGCTCCAGATCACGCCCAGGCGGGCAAATGAGTTGTTGTCATGAGTAGGAATCTTGAACGATAGGGAGTGTTTATACGTCCTTTCGCCGATAGAGGGAGCCTACGTGAGTATTTCACTCTCTAGAACTTCTCTTAATTTGGTATGGGACCTATGTTCGTTTTGAAAGTCATCGATTCTTGATTGATAGATTAAATATGGACTGATGATTCATAATAATGATGAAACAATTGTATCCTATTATCATTCAACAAGATCGATGAATTTTTCGAAACGCTCTTAATATTCACTCTCGAAAGTGATGGGTTCGTTCTCGTTGACAACATTTGTGTAGACAGCTCCCTGAGAGTTTTATTTGAAATATTTCGTTATTTCGATTAAGAGTCTCAGTATTTACTAGTATTGAATTACCTGTGAATCTTTGAACTAGCTACACTTTTGCCCGCCTGGGCGTGATCTGGAGCGATTAGGCATGGGATCATTCGTACACATTTCAGACAATTTTCTGTTGTGTTCGAATGAAATATCTACAAAGCCTTCCACTCGCACTCTTGTTGTCATGAGTAGGAATCTTGAACGATAGGGAGTGTTTATACGTCCTTTCGCCGATAGAGGGAGCCTACGTGAGTATTTCACTCTCTAGAACTTCTCTTAATTTGGTATGGGACCTATGTTCGTTTTGAAAGTCATCGATTCTTGATTGATAGATTAAATATGGACTGATGATTCATAATAATGATGAAACAATTGTATCCTATTATCATTCAACAAGATCGATGAATTTTTCGAAACGCTCTTAATATTCACTCGAAAGTGATGGGTTCGTTCTCGTTGACAACATTTGTGTAGACAGCTCCCTGAGAGTTTTATTTGAAATATTTCGATATTTCGATTAAGAGTCTCAGTATTTACTAGTATTGAATTACCTGTGAATCTTTGAACTAGCTACACTTTTGCCCGCCTGGGCGTGATCTGGAGCGATTAGGCATGGGATCATTCGTACACATTTCAGACAATTTTCTGTTGTGTTCGAATGAAATATCTACAAAGCCTTCCACTCGCACTCTTGTTGTCATGAGTAGGAATCTTGAACGCTAGGGAGTGTTTATACGTCCTTTCGCCGATAGAGGGAGCCTACGTGAGTATTTCACTCTCTAGAACTTTCTTAATTTGGTATGGGACCTATGTTCGTTTTGAAAGTCATCGATTCTTGATTGATAGATTAAATATGGACTGATGATTCATAATAATGATGAAACAATTGTATCCTATTATCATTCAACAAGATCGATGAATTTTTCGAAACGCTCTTAATATTCACTCGAAAGTGATGGGTTCGTTCTCGTTGACAACATTTGTGTAGACAGCTCCCTGAGAGTTTTATTTGAAATATTTCGATATTTCGATTAAGAGTCTCAGTATTTACTAGTATTGAATTACCTGTGAATCTTTGATACTATATATATATATATATATATATATATATATATATATATATATATATATATATATATATATATATATATATATATATATGTCAATAGTTGCGTTAGTAGTACGCTCACTATTCTTCCTGTATTTCAGGAGCCTATTCGGCGAAATTTTTAGGAAAATGAAAATATGTATGTACATGTTTTAATTTTTGTATGTATATATGTATCATGATTTATTAACATTACTGAAAATAATGGATTAATTGATCATCATCAAAATTTCACAAATGTGAAAATTAAAGATCATGCACCAAATGAACACACAATGAATGCCTGATATTTTTTTCCCTTGGGTACTGTTGAAATTTTCCAATTTGAATGTGAATAAGGTTTCAATAATTATTCACTATCGATTGTTCAAAATAGTTTCACAAATGCATCGAGGAAAGCCCGGAAAAATTTCAATATTAAAAACAAAATTTTTCAAAGAATACAGTATATGCGTATTTGTTTATAACTGAATGGATTTAATATGATTCCGCATTCTGGAATAATAGAAGAGCTTCTTCAACGTTTCATTCTTAGAACTCGTTAAATCTTGAACCTCAAAGGACAACGAATTGCAATGTTCCGAACCATCAATGATAAAACTAGAGAAAGTCGTATCAGCCTCCTGCGGTTGGAACTTAGGAAACGGTCACGTCATTCATATCTGGATAATGTTCCGCTTTGGGCGATATTGGATGTGTTAATACCGTGTCCAACAAGCCATAAACACAAGGCGGGCTCTACAGATGGCTTCGCTGGACACTCGTTACTATAGTCATTTGTTCCTGCCTGCTATATTAGAAGAGTTTGATGTTAAGTGATATAATTAGGAGTACGGATAAGCCGCAAAATATGGAAACTTGTTCCAGATACGCATCTTTTGTTTCAATGGAATATCCGAAATATTTGCAGTTTCGACTAGCTGAAAATTCATATGAAATTTTCATAAAACTACGATTGGAAATTAGAAGGGATATCTATAAGTCAACTACGAATTGAATGAAAATATATTATTAATTTATCGAATGGACACAATATATATATATATATATATATATATATATATATATATATATATATATATATATATATATATATATATATATATATATAGGTTAGTGTAGATACTATTTTAATTGATATGAATTCAGAGAACTTTGTGTAAATATATAATTTCTGTGAATATGAATTTAATTTCCTCTGAACGTAAACGGCTAAATCTCAAAAAATTAGAAAAAAGATATTGTTAATGTCGCGAAATATTTTTATTATTATTATGGAATTTCTCATTATATTATAAAAGAGTATAACGTAATTGTCTTAAGGATTATACTGGTCCCCAACATTTACGACTTTTAAGGGGGATAGGGGGGTTGTTACTTAAACTGAAAAACGAGGGTATGATAGCACAGTGAGGGAATGATTTTTCTTAGAAATTAAATGAAAATAAAATATTCTTTAATATCCCAATCAATTTTTTATTGCAAAACTTAATATTAGGAGACTTACAGACTTTATAATAACTAAGGTGAAAATGTTAAAATTTTTTGAAGTAGTCAAAACTCGAGCATATTATTCGTGAAAATAAAAAAGTTTCTTTTTCTGTCGTATTCTTTTTCTTCAATTTAGCTTCTGCTTCTGTGACTTTATTTTTTCGTGCCATCTTTTTCATATATCGCTCTAAAAAACATACAACCGTGAACTTCCCGAATTCATTATGATTTCCTCACACAACCGTCATTCCCTCACCAACAAATAGTATGAAGGAATGACGAAAAAAACGTTGAAAGTACAAAAGTTGCGAACATAACCTTCCTTTTCTATGGCAATGCATACTGATCAAATACACTCAAAAACACATACGATAAGTAGTTTATAAAGAATAAACAAACTCATACCTTTTCTTAACATAGTGTGAGGGAATGATACCAGAAAATGTAAATTAGAATAATTATTCCTTTGAAGTAATTTTAACAATACTGTTGATTAGTGACTTTCGAGTTCGCCAAATTTTTTTGATAGTAGTGCTACCACATTACTAAAAATATAACCCTGCGTTCAGTTTGATTTAAAATTTCGCTCTTATTTCACCGTTATAAAAACTATGAGGGAATGACTCGCCTTTTGAGGACACAACAACAAATGTAATTAGTGCTTATCTCTTAGTGTTTTTCACTAACAAATATACATT